AATAGACAACAATAAAAGCAAAACAATAAATAAGGGGAGGATCATGAAGGATTTCATTATAAAGAATTTGTTAGCTCTGTTAGCTTTCAAGCAGCTTTATGTATCAGAAGATATACACATGAATAATAATAATAGTAATATGTAATATGTAATATCCATTACAAATGCATTAGATGTCATTTTTTACATTGGAAAAACTGCAGATACCATCTTTAACTCGGAAAAAGGAGTGTTTTAAAGTCCAATTTTGTTTCACCAGATCACTTTAATATTGTGCGCTGGTCTCTCCTCTCTCTCACACTACTTTTCTCTTTGCTCTCTGATCTATCGATTTCTCTCTCTGCCTCCTCAGTCTTCTTGTGCTATATGATCTAAAATCTATGGCATCTTCACTGTACAACCATCATTCATTCCTCCAAATGTCTTTGTACATCGTGTACATGCTAATATGTTTGCACGCAGTGTGTACAGTCTATAGTGATTGCAATTTGTTTGTACAGAAACCCTCCTAGTCATCCCTGAACTGAACCTGGTGTTTAGTTGGCCCACAGCATGATTAATGCTGCCAACTGAAAAGTGCTCTTGAGCAGAACCGATGGCACAGTAGTGGATGGCAAAGGTTCAGATGCTAAGTTTGAGGCTGTATTCTAATGATGGATTCATTATCTATGTTCACCTACCAATGTGATATTATTATTACACTTCAGAGCTTAACAATGCTGGATTTAGAGGGATCTGGACCTGCTTTACCAGCTGAAGATCATCTTAGCCATCTGAGAAATTGGTTTTAAATGTGTGGGTTTTTTTTTTAAACCTTTGGAGCTTTTTTATTTTTAGTATTTTAGAGAGATCACAAAAAGTAATGTGAGTTTGATCAGCAACATAAACAGAAGCTCAATCACACTTGCCGCTTCTTGCAGAAGCTCAAATTTGCTGATGTGACACACAAGAGAGATTTTTATTGATTCTTGCATATAAAGTTACTGAAAACTGTAAACACTGTTCACTGATCAAAGTTTATATATGATTTCATAGCCTAAAATACATCTATTCTTATTATGTGTAATAAAATGCTTCCCTTTGATTGGCATTCGTTTATTGATTTATTTTTTAATCTTTTTATGATTTTCTTGAAGCAGAGTTTGAAAAAATATATCGTGGTCTAAAACATTGGTTTGTGTGAGTTATACAGATAAAATATTCAAGACAAATATTATTAGATTGTAAAATCAATGGAAGTCAGTTTCATGCCTTCAGGGGGAAAAGTACAAATCTGTTAGTATAGTATCAGAAACAAAAGGTCCAAAAGTATTTTTCAAAAGTACACTTTTTTGGCCCTAAAGGTTTCAGAATGATTCCATAAAGTTACATACAGTACAGGCTTATACCCAAACAAAACATAAGTATACTTTCTGAAAATACTACTGGTGATACTTCTCTTTCTGTATCTTTCTTTCTGAGAATGCAATGCTATGTTCACACCAAACCTGGAAAACCACATTACTCGCTCTAATTTATCGCAGGGCGTTTTCACCTTAAATGAAATTTTGCTAACACTTTAACTTGAGGTGATGGTTACACATGCATGCTCTTACTATAGTAGTCACAATGAATTATATTAATTAAATATTTTGTATATTAAACACACGTCAGCATAAAATAAAAAGTCCCACTTTATATTAAGTGTCCTTAACCACTATGTACTTACATCAGAAAAAATAAATACAATCTACTTACTGTGTTTATAATGTATTTGAGAACACTTGTGGTGCTTTTGAGTTGGGATAGAGGTTGGGTTATGGACAGGTTTGGTGGCATGGGTAGGTTTAAGGGTGGGTTAAGGTAAGGGATGCTCAACAGTGTATTTACGAATGTAATTACAAAATTTAATTAGAGATGTAATTACACACATATTTGATCAAGCATAAGTACACAGTAAATACATGTATTCACACAATAAGTAAATTGTAACAAACTATTAATTCCTATGTAAGTACATATTAAATAAGGTCACAATATAAAGTGTGACCAAAAAAAGTACATTTGAAATTTTATGGATAACAACAATAGCTAAAATAGTATTTAAATCAATTTCAATATGATCTGCTTTTGGTGCCTCACACCTTTTTATTAGTCCTTTTTTTGTTTCGAGAATAAGGTCCAAGATTTAGAATAAAAGTTACCTGTAAAATGTTTTCGTTGTTTAAAAACAATGCAGTACCCCCAACAATACCCCAAACTTTCCACAGTTTTATGAGATGCATGGGGTGCATATTGAAAGGGCCAGACAGAATCTGCTGTCAATTTTTTTGCGGAGAATTGTGTATTGGAACTTTAAATTAATTATTTTGGTAGTATCGTAACTAAGAGCTTAATATATTAAATAAAAAATAATAGCTTTTTACTTTAGTTTAATGGTTACAGTGCACTAGATTTACTTATTTGGTAAACAAAGCAAGTTTCTCATATAATTTATCTACTTAAAGACAGAAAATATTATTTTTTAACTTGGATTGTACATAAATCAAATCAACACTTTAATATTAGTCAATAATATTACTGAAATGAATTTGAAAACTGAATAAATATAAATTTACACACATTTACACAAGCTAATAAATAGACTCAATGATGGGCTAAAATCTGCAAAAAAAATGTGTGGGGCTACATATTGGTACCTGAAATATGTATAACAAAAATCCTAAATAGTGATTTATTTAAGAATCTAGGGTTGTCCTTTGTACCTTATCAGTCCTTTTAATGTGCATATTGGTACATGAATGATACATAATGTATTAGAGTAGCTTTCGAGTTGGTGCCACCCAAGTAACATCTTTTTGTGTGTTCTTCTGACAGCACAAAAGAGAAAACTGTGTGCAAGAGAGCTGGTCTATTTCTGCAACTCTGTCTGGCTCTGTTACATGTGGTAACTAGGTCCCCGGTTCTGTTCTTCAAGGTCAGAGACATGCGGGTGGAAAAGGGGTCAGGAGATCACCTGCTTTAATGGGCAGAGTGTCTGTAAGAGAGCCCTAAAACAAATCCAGTCCGTCCACAGAGACTTTTCCCGGACATTACGTCTCTCTCTACTGTCCCCGTACAGCACAACATCCCTGCCAGCAGGAGCATTACATTGGTACACATAAATTAGCAACTATCAGCATATGCAAATGAGGGTGGCTGACTCAGTGTGTGTCTGCGTTCATGTGCTCGAGACAGGCGGTGACTGTAAAGTGACAGCGTTTCGATGTTCCTCTCATCATTCCACTCAGGTCTGTTTACCCAGCCGTAACAAGATGATGTTTGACATGCCGCGTGACGACAAGAGAGAATTTCACTTTGAAAGTCGGGCCTCTAACGGTTCTCTGGCGCTCCGGCTTTGATCTGCTAAATGAAATGCCTCATCCTGAGTAGCACATTAAAGGAACTCACCTCCTCAGATAAAAACGATGTGCAAATTTCATATCAATTAAAGCTGCTGCTCGGGGCTCGATGCTGAGATGACATGGCCATCAGTCACCTTAAAGAGTATTAATACGAGAGGGGTGGAGAGACTTGATGATGTGAAGAAGCCTCTTCAACAGGGGTAAAGGTGAGAGATATGAGAGCATGCATGGAGAGAGGAGCAAAGATAAGAGATGCGCAAGACAAATTAATGGAATTGATGAATCATGTCCACGTTGTCATGTCATGTGGAAGTCATGAGGACATAGATCTTTTAGTTCTGCGTCATGTTCCAGTTCAGTTCCTCTATTTTAATTCTTTATACAGTCCTGGCTGGTGAATGCATGCAAAAAGCTTCTACATGCAAGTCAAATTTGAATTGGTATTTGAAATGAGTTGGAAGGGTTTTGTGCAAGACTCCAACAAGCAAGAAAGAAATGCAAAACACTTTTTTGTGTCGTTTCTTTTTTGTTTTTATCATTCACTTTTAGTCTCCACTGTCAAAAAAAAGTTATGGGAAGTAATTGGAGTCGTCACTTTGCTCTTTGGGTTTTGTGATTACGCCTTATCGCTTTGGTTGTAATCTGTTGTGTAAGATGTTGTAAAGTGTTATCTTTGTGTTTGCCTAATCCTATTGGTTTCCGTATTGAGCTTATGTAACCCTTGACTATTTGCATAAAGTGAATGATATAGGGCTCTATAATTTCTGCAATGCAGGAAACCAGACATTTTTGTTAGATGCACCTTACTAGAGCCGGGTTGGACCCACTTTTGCTTTCACAACTGCCTTAATACTTTGTGGTATAGATTCAACAAGGTACTGGAAATATTCAGCATTGACACAATGCTCAATTGGTACTAATGGGCTCAAAGTGTGCCAAAAAATATCCCCCACATCATTACACCAACCATTGATACAAGGCAGGATGGATCCATGCTTCCATGTTGTTGATGCCAAATTTTGACCCTATCATCCGAATGTCTTAGCAGAAATAGAGACTCTTCAGACCAGGCAACGTTTTTCCAATCTTCTATTGTCAAATTTTGGTGAGCCTGTGTCTATTGTAACCTCAGTTTCCTGTTCTTAGCTAACAGGAGTAGCACCTGGTGTGGTCTTCTGCTCCTGTAGCCCATCCGCCTCAATTTTCGATGTATTGTGCATTCAGAGATACTCTTCTGCATACCTTGGTTGTTTATTTAAGATTATTTTGAGTATTTGATGGTTGTGCATGAAAATCCCAGTAGATGAGCAGTTTTCGAAATACTCTGATCAGCCTGTCTGGCACCGTGTTCAAGATCTCTTAAGTCACCTTTCTTTCCCATTCTGATGCTCTGTTTGAACTGCAGCAGACTGTCTTGATCATGTCTACATGCCTAAATGCATTGAGTTGCTGCCATGTGATTGGCCAATTTGAAATTTGCGTTAATAAGCAGTTGGAACATCATAAAATCTGTCATAAAAATGCCATTTGGAAAATTTTGGTTAAATGAATCAAAAGTAGTGTTACCTAACCAATATCAAATTAAACAAATGTTTACGAATAATAAGTCAAACCAACTTTTAAAGTATTTTGCTGTTTTAATTTGAAGAAATTATGTACATGGAGAAATTCAAGCACTTTTACTGCAACCCATCAAAATAAGTAAGGTTTTTTTACAGAAACTGTGACAGATCCTAAAAATACAATTTTATTACGTGCTTAAACTTGTTAGACTCAATAAGGTTCATGATTTAAATTAACCAATCATGTTTTTTTGATTGCTAAAATGTATTTAAACCGTCAAAATGGAGCAAAGAAAAAAAATAGAAATGTGAAAAAATAAATAAATACAATTTTAAAAGAAATCTTTTGTAAGGCCCTGTAAATAATATTTACAATAATATTTTTCAATTATTCCTAGTGGTTATATACAGTACACAGATTCAACTTATGGTTTTTTTTCTGTCCCGGTTTGTATGATGTTTGTGAAATGGAAACGTAAGACTTAAACGAAGAAGTGAGCAGTTCCAGGACTGAAGCCGTACATCTCCCCTAATTCAGTCTTCAAACATTAATTAAACTTTACAACCATTTCTGACTTTGACATATTTACAGTTCGCTATGAGGTCATGCTGAAAAAGTAATGTCCTGTATCCAGGGGTTATCCATGGGAAACTAATTTCAGTAGTGTATCGTTCACATGCAGTCCGCCTTGTCGACTGTGATTAGGAACGACAGCGAGTCCTCGACCAGTTTGCCTCTCTAGAATTCTCTCTCTCATTTCCCTTTCTCTTCGATTCCACTCCTCCTCCATCCTGCAGTACATATGTAAGGAGAAGTGCCATCCACCATTCTCCATTAGCATGTCCTCTGCCCGATCCAGCAGACTGCACACCTGCTTTCTGTCTTGCGATGTTTTGTTGTTAAGAACATGATACCTGTACCTGCACTTCTCCATCAGCCACTGGAGGTCGGTCCCAGATGACTGAATATAGTCCTGTATGCTGTCGCGCAGACGGTCACCCAATGTAAATACAATCATAGTATGACGCCACACACCCTCTGTGAGGATCTCCATACGTTTCTTAAGAGCAGCTCTTTCGGAGTGGCTGAAGTGCAGAAGGGGAATGACTAGAAGGAGGACGTGGGGTCCTGGCTCACATAGCGAGAGTGCATTAAATAGTTCCAGTTTCTCCTGTTTGGGGACCAGGTTCTCATCAGAGCCCCATCCACAGGCGTCTACAACCATCAGGTGTCTGCCTTCAGATTCTCCATGTGCTACAGCACTCTCCGCTCCACCCCATGTATTAAATACCTCCTTTCCCAATATTGTGTTGGCCACAGAACTCCTTCCTGTTCGCTTTTGACCGACGATTAGCAGCCGTAAATCTGGGGTGATGTCATTGGGGGCTGTTGGAAGACAACAAATCAATGGCAAATTAGATGATTAAAATACTCCTCATTTTACAACTCCACTAAAGTGAAATATTTGAGTTTTAGCAAAGGTTTCTTGATTATTACTCTGGAATGATAGTATAGTTCCTATAGTTGATGGGATAGTAAACTATAGTTTCTATAGTTCTATAGTATAGTATAGTTTCCATCGGTCTCAGTACATAATGTAGCTACAGAAGATAAGCTTTGTAGGAAAGTTCGGGATTTTCGATAAAAACTCTTTGGCCATTTTTGAACAAGATGCTAATGGTCTAATCCGATACAATGATCTATGCTAAGCTAATCTAAAAAAAAAATTGTCAGACCGGGAGAACAGCTATATGGATTAAAAAACAGTTCAATCAAGGAGAGTTGTAAAATGATCCTATTGTATTTGAAAACTTGTTAAATAAATTTAGTTTAGTTTTTTTAAAACTACATTTTCAGCTTACATTGGTATTCAACCAGTGTTTCGTTACATTTTGTTTATTAATGAATCGTTTATTTTAGTTTTCTATTTCAGTTAACATCTACTACTTCATTTCAAGTAATGATGGTTTTAGTTAATTATAAAAAGCATGTTTTTATTCTTAAAATCACAAAATATTTTACTTAAATCAAGTAGAAATTAGTATTTGCATGTATTGTGACAAAAATGAAATCAAACATAACAGTCTTACCATTATTTAACACATTCCTGTTGTCCATTATTCAGTGTTTTTCAGTATTATAATGCAGTCCATCTGACAGGTAGAGTCCTCTGAGCGCTCAGTACAGTGTGTGCAAGTTAGTCACTGATCGACTTGTTTCACATGAAGAGGGAGTGATCAGAAATCTCCTCCCACTTCTGCTTTCACATTTACAGATCAGCTTTTTTAAATTCCTCTCTCCCTTAGTGTTGTTTGTTTATGTTATAAACTACAGGAATGCTTTACACCTTTATTATTATAGTGTCATGGAAATCAGGAAATGCTGAGTACTGTAGATTGTTGCATTCTTCAGAACTGATTAAACGTGAAATGCTTGTTTTGATTTTAAAGTCACGTTGCTCAGGGCCACGTGGAAACACAGTGCCAAAACGTGAGTGAAATGCCTTCTCTCAAGTCAGACAAAATAAACACTGAGCCTAATTCATGAACACAACAGAACGGATATTAAGACTATTAATTCTGCAAATCATCACTTTCAATTGAGTGGAACAATGGGACAGTTTATGTAAGAATGGATTTAAACATTCTGCTCATGTTTCATTAACAAGGACCAGTGTGTGAAATCTCACTGTGATTATTTTTCATTCACTATAAGGATATTTCAACAACAGTAATATTGTATAATTTGGGTGTGAATATTAAAGGTTGTATAAAACTTGTTCTTGAATGCTCTATAATAGATTTTCTTTGTACACTTTGTGGCTTTTATTATTAATTATTAATAGAATAATTTATCTGGTTCCCAAATTATTGTGTTTTGTACTTTTAATAGTGCTCTGATACACAATTCTAGCTTATTTATTGAGAATGAAGAAGAGAAAGCTACTATTTTAATTGTCATCAATTGATGAACTTCAGTTTTTCTTTTTTCTTTTTTAGCTTTTTTTGCAGTTAATTTAAACAGCTTGACACAGAAAAAGCCTAAGCTTTCATGAAGTAAATACAACTTTCTTGTGATTTCTCTTAAACTTTGTAGACAAAAGTTCAATTGAATTGAATCAAATTTTTATTAGACAGATTTTATACAAACTATACAAGTGTCCCATACATTTTGAAATAAAACCGTCGAGATAAAAACACAATAAAGCCCTGGGCGTGTTTCCATTGTGGTCTTGCTGTTAAAAACAAAGTATGGCTGAAAAATACAGTAAATGCATAAACCGAACAGTTCCTCCACATTTTAAACCAGGAACAAAATTATTTAGAATGCATTAACATAAAAAAATAATCCACCATGCAAACTAACTATCCTCATCAAACAATCATCTTTTGATCGCTTTTTTTGAACCTCCTTTAGTCTTTTATTTCCTTGATTGATTTTGGTTATTTGTTCCATATGATTGCACTTGTACATAAAAAAAAAAAAAAAAAAAAAAAAAAATTCCCTACTACACTTCTAAATAAAATTTTTTTTTTTAAAAAACTAATATTAAAATCCCAGTCCCCTAGTACTATATGAATGCTGTTTCCTTGCCATTTAAAAATATTGTTTATCGATTAACTAGGAACCACATTATAAAACATTTTAACTATCATTTCCAATTTTTTAAAACATGCTCTTTTATTTACAGTTAACATACAAAATTATTTTTAAAAAAAAAACTTTTTTTAATTAAGTTAAAAAAGAAAGAAAAACAAATATGTAATGCAATATTTGTGACATTTTAATTAATTGTTATTAAGCTTGACGATTTTTCAAACAAATTATATATTTTTTCAGACTTTTGGTCTTATAAGTTGTTGATTGTTGTATGTAAGTTGCTGATTACACAATTTTTGTGTATTTATTTTTTTATTAATGTTTAAGGGAAAGCATATATTTTAGGTGTTTTAGCTGATCACAATTTGTTTTGATCACCTTTTTTCTGTTAAATTGTCCATTCAGCATCTTGTGATGTGAATGAAATAAAAACAGAATAAATCCCAACATATAGGCTCCAAATTATTGTCATTTCCTAAAACTACATGCAATAATTGTTATGCATTAGTCATGAGTAGGCTCACACGGAATATTCGCAAAGAAATCCACAGATTTCCGCTGCTTTTTTAGCCCATCATTAAGTCTTCTTATTTGCTTGTGTCAAGGTGTGTACAGTAAATTTACATCTTATGTATTTTTTTTAATTCACTAATATTATTGTGATATAATAACATTACAGTAATGTTAAAATGTTCAAATGATTTATTTACAATACAGTTTGTAAAGTATTATTCTCTGTCTTTTAGTAGAAATATTATATGAGAAACTTGCTTTGTTTTCCAAATAAGTGGATCTGATTAGTTTTTCATTTTTAACATAAAATACAAGTTTAAAAGCTATTATTTTTATTTCATATGTTTAGTTTTTAGTTATGATACTCCTAAAATCAGTCAGCATAAATCTACAGATTTTTTTTTTTTTTTTTTTTTTTTTACAAAATTCTCTCCAGGAATAGCACAAAAATTATAATTACAATAACATAATAATTATAATAATGTTCAAAAGTGATTAAAACGTAAATATTGTTAATTTAATGTTGCTGTGATATGGCTTTTAAAAGGATATTTAAGGCAAAGCATATTTTAGCCATCACAACTGATCACCCATTTCCTATTGTTTTTATATTATTTATTTTATAGTTCATTTAATTGGTCCCTCTTTACAGTAATTTTTCATTAGTTAATGTATTTAATAACTTTACCTAATAATGAACAATACATATGCAGCATTTATTAATCATAGTTCAACATTTACCAACACAGAATTAAAATCTAAATTCATGCTTGTTAACATAATGGACTGAGTTGACATAAACTAACAACTTTATTTTCATTTACTAACATTAAAGAAACGTAAATAAATATTCTAATTATTATTGTTCATTGTTTATTGTTTGTTTGTATTATTAAATACATTACTGTTGATGAAAATAACTTTACTGTAAATGTTACCATTTAATTCATGCATCAACCTGGGACGTGAAAGAAATGATAATAGCATTATTCCATTTACTGTAGTCTCTAAATAAAATTATGTTTCTAAAACTGCATGAAAATTAATTGAAAAATGTGCTTTAAATAATTTGTAATTCAAGTATAGTTAAGTAAAGCAGTAGTCATGGGAAATGTAGAGAAAAAAAAAAACTAATTATATATTTTGCTTCATATTTAAACAAAAACCGATTGTCTGGATGTAATTGTGCTTTACTACTAAAGTCACTGGCGATAAGGAACTAAATGCCAGACTTAGCTCACCACCACATATTTCACTGCTGTAATTGCTACCAAGAATTGAAACTGTAAACACCAAGTTATAGTTTGTTTTACAGCTGTGTTGTGTTTTTAGGATTACTTCAGCATACTTTTCCACTTTATGAGAGCTTTTTCTCACTCGTAGCTTGTAAATGATTGCCTAACAGTCGTGCAGTCCAGTTGTAAGATCTCGTGGCATTGTTTTGATTTTTTTAAACTGCTGTGTTGTTCCTCTGCTCACTTCCCCATTTCTTTATGGTCACTTGCCTCTCAGCATTACAGTAACTTATCTAAATTCACCCCAAAGGAGGATTTGCACACCATTTGAAGCACAAAGAGTGAAGTGATATGTAAACAGAGGCCTGTTGGAGGAGCATCTGAGCTTGAATGACTCACGTCTTTAGGAGCAGAAAAACTGTGAGGAGGGAACAGATAAAAAGAGGATATGAGAGGAATAAGGAATATCTGTGGGTTGTAGCTCTGAGCCAAGACACATGACAGTCGTTTCCCAGCATGCAATGCTCTCACTTTGCACTCTGTTTTTTGAGTTTTTAGGATGCACTTTAAAGGGGACATATCCTGCAAACTTGACTTTTCTCAAGTTTTAATGCTTTAATCGGGTCCCCGGTGCATCTTCCAACCCAGAAAACTTGAAAAAAGGACAACCTAGGAAATTTGTTTTGGTAATTCGTATTCTGCAAGCATGTAAATATGAGCTCAGATTTCTTTCCTTTAGTGACGTAGCACCAGATCTTATCATATTTATCCACCTCTTAATCTTTCGTCAGCAGTCAGTGTGCTGTAGCAGCTAGAGATTTACAGTGTTGGGCAAGCTACTTGGAAAATGTTGTGAGCTAAGCTCTTAGTTACTTTACTTAAAATATAGCTTAACTAAAAGCTACCCCCTGGGACATGTAACAAGCTAAACTAAAAGCTACACAGCTAAAGTAGCTTAGCTACATCTAAGCTATTATTATTATTATTATTATTATTATTATTTTCATTTTTAAATCTAACCAACCTAAATGCAAGTCAGTTTTGTCTTGTTGATCAATAACACCGCCAAAGAAGCATATGCGACATAATTGATAAGTTCAGTTATTTACTGCAATTTTTATGCTGTTACAAACAGAAACAAATTGTACTAGTCTGCAAAAAAAAAAAAAAACTATTCCAGAAATCCTGTTGCACATACAAAATACTATAGTAATGTCTAGTAAAGGGAAACATGTAGGAAGGTATTTAATTATATAACCCTTATTTTTCGTATTGCAACTGTAAATGTACCACAGCATATTAATTGAATTACTTCCCTATAGTATGGTTCAAAAACACTATAGTATTTTAAATATTTTAAATGCTTTATTTACATTAAATTACCATATATATTTTTTCATGTAAATGCACTTGGGGACATTCGCTGAACAAACAGTGAACACATTTAAAACCAATTCAATTCTAACAAGAGCACAGCTATAGAATTAACTTTAAAAACTGCACTTCTCGAAGTATGATCCTGCTTTACAAAAAATTAGTCTAAAGTAATCTTTCCATCAAGCAAGTTTCTCTTGTCAGCCCAATGATTGATTGGCGACATCACAGACTAGAGCGAGAGGTAGCAGTAACGCACCAAAAAGGTTTGCTTTTGACCACTGTAAAACACTAAAAAGAAGAATTTGCCATTCTCACCATCATATGGATTTACTTTTATCGGCCAGACACTGGCTTCACAGCTCCACGAATGGCAGTAGTATCACTTAATGATCCTTGATCA